GGTGTCATTGTCTCCCTTGTTACCATGACAGTGTAAAGAGACGGAGCCGGTTTGCTCTCATGTGTCAGGAAATGCCATGTCCATCTCCAGGGGGAGAGGGGCCGTGCACCATCAAACTCAATGGTTGCGTTAAATTTTCATCTCATTTGCTGCTCTCACCTGGCCACATTCGTAACCTCGCTCTCTACCAGGTGCACAGCAGAACGAGGGTGTGTGATTAGAGAGGTAGCATGCGCTTCTTCACCTGAAGGAAGATTGGGTCTGTATTAAACTGCATGTTAATGGAAAGCCAAAGCAAAGGATAACGGGATGACAACTTTGGGTCGCTATTAAGTCTGGATTGGGCAATGTAGTTTTGCATTCATCATAGCCTCGGCTACGATTTCCTCTGAAAACTTACTCTTAATTACATTAAAAGCGATACATTCTGTTTTTCTACCGATGTATTAGTACACTCCTGACAGCGCGGCGGCCTCCCCGGAACCTCCTGACCCCGTCGCGCTCTCAGGAGCCTCGTCAGTCCCGTACCACAGGCTGAGGGGGTCAAGTCTGAGGGACAGTGGCACCATCTACAGCACCACTTCCAGTTTTCTGGTGGTTTATTGGAGATAAGAATCTCATGGACTTTCCTTCCTGGCTGGCTTTGAACCGTGATCCTCAGATCTCAGATCTCAGCCTCCCTCCATGAAGAGGGAGACCGAGGTGGAGGCCCCACCATGAAGAGGGAGGCCGAGGTGGAGGCCCCGCCATAAAGAGGGAGGCCAAGGCCAAGGCCCCGCCATAAAGAGGGAGACCGAGGCCAAGGCCCCACCAAAAAGAGGGAGACCGAGGTGGAGGCCCCACCATGAAGATGGAGGCTGAGGCTGAGGCCCCGCCATAAAGAGGGAGGCCGAGGCGGAGGTTGGGCGTGAGGGGGAGGCCAAGGTGGAGGTCAGGCGTGAGAGAAAGGGGGCCCAGAGCCCCCAAGGACGTGGCCCAGAGCCCCCCAGGGACACAGTCCAGAGCCCCCCAGGGACACGGCCCACAGCCCCCCAGGGACACAGTCCAGAGCCCCCCAGGGACACGGCCCACAGCCCCCCAGGGACACAGTCCAGAGCCCCCAAGGACGTGGCCCAGAGCCCCCCAGGGACACAGTCCAGAGCCCCCCAGGGACACAGTCCAGAGCCCCCCAGGGACACAGTCCAGAGCCCCCCAGGGACACAGTCCAGAGCCCCCCAGGGACACAGTCCAGAGCCCCCCAGGGACACGGCCCACAGCCCCCCAGGGATGTGGCCCAGGCCCTTTCCTGGTGAAGGGCAGCAGGTGGTGGCGTTCCCACTACAGACCTCTGCAGCAGGCTGGGCTCGGGAGGAGCCCTTGCTCACTACCTGGCATCTGCACGTCCATGTTGGGGCTCAGGCCAGCAACCCCACATGCTCCAGCTGTTCCTGGCAAGCTCAGAATCACCTCGAGTTGGGGCAGAGTGGTTTGAGAAAGGTCAGCAGAGACAAGGACCCGGCTCCGTGGTCCCTTCCCACCACGGAGGAGGCTGGTGTGTGGAGGAGGCTGGCGTGTGGAGGAGGCTGGCGTGTGGAGGAGGCTGGCGTGTGGAGGAGGCTGGCGTGTGGAGGAGGCTGGCGTGTGGAGGAGGCTGGCGTGTGGAGGAGGCTGGCGTGTGGAGGAGGCTGGCGTGTGGAGGAGGCTGGCGTGTGGAGGAGGCTGGCGTGTGGAGGAGGCTGGCGTGTGGAGGAGGCTGGCGTGTGGAGGAGGCTGGCGTGTGGAGGAGGCTGGCGTGTGGAGGAGGCTGGCGTGTGGAGGAGGCTGGCGTGTGGAGGAGGCTGGCGTGTGGAGGAGGCTGGCGTGTGGAGGAGGCTGGCGTGTGGAGGAGGCTGGCGTGTGGAGGAGGCTGGCGTGTGGAGGAGGCTGGCGTGTGGAGGAGGCTGGCGTGTGGAGGAGGCTGGCGTGTGGAGGAGGCTGGCGTGTGGAGGAGGCTGGCGTGTGGAGGAGGCTGGCGTGTGGAGGAGGCTGGCGTGTGGAGGAGGCTGGCGTGTGGAGGAGGCTGGCGTGTGGAGGAGGCTGGCGTGTGGAGGAGGCTGGCGTGTGGAGGAGGCTGGCGTGTGGAGGAGGCTGGCGTGTGGAGGAGGCTGGCGTGTGGAGGAGGCTGGCGTGTGGAGGAGGCTGGCGTGTGGAGGAGGCTGGCGTGTGGAGGAGGCTGGCGTGTGGAGGAGGCTGGCGTGTGGAGGAGGCTGGCGTGTGGAGGAGGCTGGCGTGTGGAGGAGGCTGGTGTGTGGAGGAGGCTGGTGTGTGGAGGAGGCTGGTGTGTCAAGTCGGGACGCACCTGGCTCCCGCTCGGCCCCGCCCCAGGTGCCCTGAGCCCTGGCCCCTCCCCTTCTTGAGACCTGAGGGTGGAGACGGGAGGCCCGGCTGCTCAGGGGGCCGACGGCCGACTGTGTTTCCACCCCGGGTACTGCTTGTCCCAATGGACAAAACAGAAAGACACCCAGGGGCGTCTCCACTCCATGATCCCCGTGCGGGCCTGGCTTCTGCCGGCAGCCGTCTGTCTGTGGCCCAAAGCCACACTGCGCAGGGGCTGAGCCACCCACTGCTTACCTGCGATGACTCCATAATTAATACGTGCGTTGTACTGCACCAGCTCACCAGGCGATATCACCAATTAGATGCTACTTTTCAGACTTCTGCTGAACCAGAACACTAAAAGCACACAGAACAACTGCTACGTTCAACCAAAGAATCGCCAGGAAGTGGGTCTGGGAGCAGTGGGGCTGGAGCAGGCCGAGGAGAGGAGGGGTGCGATGGGCCGGGGGGAGGGGGGAGGGATGGGTGAGACTGTGGAAGGACTGAGGCAGACCACCAGGCCTTGCGTTCATAGGCTGCTTTGTTACATTGCAATTCCTCGTAGAAGATCCTTTCCTAAAGGAAAAAGACGCCACTAAGTTTTCCTCACTAGAAAAATTCCTATCTATGGCGAGTGCGGAGCGTGCACTGGACCCTCACAGTGGTGTCCGGACGGTCCCTGGGCACGCCAGGGCGTCAGCCTCCTGGTAGTGGGAGACCGTCCATCAGGGTGCTGCCCGGAGTCCCCGCACCAGGCCCCGTACCTTCCCCCACCAGCGCTGACCGTCTGTCTGTCCCCCGCAGACCCGCCCAGCGCTGACCGTCTGTCTGTCCCCCCCGCAGACGCACCCAGCGCTGACCGTCTGTCTGTCCCCCACAGGCCCGCCCAGCGCTGACCATCTGTCTGTCCCCCGCAGACCCGCCCAGCGCTGACCATCTGTCTGCCCCCCCCGCAGACGCACCCAGCGCTGACCGTCTGTCTGTCCCCCACAGGCCCGCCCAGCGCTGACCGTCTGTCTGTCCCCCGCAGACCTGCCCAGCGCTGACCGTCTGTCTGTCCCCCACAGACCCGCCCAGCGCTGACCATCTGTCTGTCCCCCACAGACCCGCCCAGTGCTGACCGTCTGTCTGTCCCCGCAGACCTGTCTAGCGCTGACCATCTGTCTGTCCCCGCAGACCCGCCCAGCGCTGACCATCTGTCCCTCCCGCAGACCCGCCCAGCGCTGACCGTCTGTCCCCCCTGCAGACCTGCCCAGCGCTGACCATCTGTCTGTCCCCGCAGACCCGCCCAACGCTGATCATCTGTCTGTCCCCCACAGACCTGCCCAGCGCTGACCATCTGTCTGTCCCCACAGACCCGCCCAGCACTGACCATCAGTCTGTCCCCCACAGACCCGCCCAGCACTGACCGTCTGTCTGTCCCCCGCAGACGCATCCAGCGCTGACCGTCTGTCCCCCACAGACCTGCCCAGCGCTGACCGTCTGCCTGTCCCCCACAGACCCGCCCAGCACTGACCATCTGTCTGTCCCCGCAGACCTGTCCAGTGCTGACTGACTGTCCCCCACAGACCCGCCCAGCGCTGACCGTCTGTCCCCGCAGACCTGTCCAGCGCTGACCGTCTGTCTGTCCCCCCCGCAGACGCGCCCAGCGCTGACCGTCTATCTGTCCCCCACAGACCTGCCCAGCGCTGACCGTCTGTCCCCGCAGACCCGCCCAGCACTGACCATCTGTCTGTCCCCGCAGACCTGTCCAGCGCTGACTGTCCCCCGCAGACCCGCCCAGCGCTGACCATCTGTCTGTCCCCGCAGACCCGCCCAGCGCTGACCATCTGTCTGTCCCCCGCAGACCTGCCCAGCACTGACCATCTGTCTGTCCCCGCAGACCTGTCCAGCGCTGACCGTCTGTCTGTCCCCCGCAGACCTGCCCAGCACTGACCATCTGTCTGTCCCCCACAGGCCCGCCCAGCGCTGACCATCTGTCTGTCCCCTGCAGACCCGCCCAGCGCTGACCGTCTGTCTGTCCCCTGCAGACCCGCCCAGCGCTGACCATCTGTCTGTCCCCGCAGACCCGCCCAGCGCTGACCGTCTGTCCCTGCAGACCTGTCCAGCGCTGACCATCTGTCTGTCCCCCGCAGACCCGCCCAGCGCTGACCGTCTGTCTGTCCCCCGCAGACCTGCCCAGCACTGACCATCTGTCCCCGCAGACCTGTCCAGCGCTGACCGTCTGTCTGTCCCCTGCAGACCCGCCCAGCGCTGACCGTCTGTCTGTCCCCCGCAGACCCGCCCAGCGCTGACCATCTGTCTGTCCCCGCAGACCCGCCCAGCGCTGACCGTCTGTCCCCCTGCAGACCCACCCAGCGCTGACCGTCTGTCTGTCCCCCGCAGACCCGCCCAGCACTGACGTCTGTCCCCCTGCAGACCCGCCCAGCGCTGGCCGTCTGTCTGTCCCCCACAGGCGCGCCCAGCACTGTCTGTCTGTCCCCCGCAGACCCGCCCAGCACTGACCGTCTGTCCCCCCGCAGACCCGCCCAGCACTGATGTCTGTCCCCCCGCAGACCCGCCCAGCGCTGACCGTCTGTCTGTCCCCTGCAGACCCACCCAGCGCTGACCGTCTGTCTGTCCCCCGCAGACCTGCCCAGCGCTGACCATCTTTCTGTCCCCCGCAGACCCGCCCTGCCCATGGACGCCGGCGCCCACCTTCAATGAGGACAGGTACTCCCCCGCGCCCCGCAGCATGAAGGGGCTGCCCGCCAGCCGGAGCCAGCCCCCGCTGTGCGCGGGCCACACCTGCGGCCTGGCGCCCCCGGAGGACTGCGAGCTGGCCCACGGCCGCCTGCCCCGCGGGCCCGACCCGCGGCAGCCCTACCCGCTGGACCGGCGCCGCTGCTCGGCCCGCAGCCCCGTGCGCTCGGAGCGCGCGCCGGCGCCCGCGGGCCCCGTGGAGCCCGTGTCCAGCAGCACCTTCCCGCGGATGCACTACAGCTCCCACTGCGACCCGCGGGACTGCGACCCGCGGGACTGCGAGGCGGGCGCGCGCCGCATCCCGGCCAACCTCCTGGACCAGCTGGAGAAGCAGCTGCCACTGCACAGAGACGGCTTCCACACGCTGCAGTACCAGCGGTCCTCCACGGCCGAGCCGCGCGGCGGCAGCCCCGGCCGCATCCGGCACCTGGTGCACTCCGTCCAGAAACTCTTCGCCAAGTCACACTCGCTGGAGGGCGCCTCCAAGAACAGCGTCAACGGCACGCGGGCTGACGACCAGCACCAGGGCCACCCCCCCAGGCACGGCAAGAGGGCCAAGAGCAAGGAGCGCAAGCCCGAGGGCCGGCACCGGCCGGGCCTGAGCAGCTGGTGGAGCTCCGATGACAACCTGGACAGTGACAGCACCTACCGGCCGCCCAGCGTGGTCACCCGGCACCTGCTGGAGCCCGGCCCCCACTGCTACCCCCGACGCCCTGCAGAGCCCCTTCGGGGACTTCTCCCTCAAGACCTCCAAGAGCAACAGCGACGTGAAGTGCTCGGCCTGCGAGGGCCTGGCACTGACGCCGGACCCCCGGTACCTGAAGCGCAGCTCCTGGTCGGCGCTCACCGTGAGCCAGGCCAAGGAGGCCTACCGCAAGAGCTCGCTGAACCTGGACAAGCCCCTGCTCCACCCGGAGCTCAAGCCTGCCCTGCGGCCCTGCCACTACCTCCAGGTGAGCGGGCGGGGCTCGGGGAGCGTGTGTGTGCAAGGGGGTGGGGCTCAGGGAGCGCGTGTGTGCAAGGGGGGCAGGGGGACCCGGGGACGCGTGTGTGCAAGGGGGTGGGGAGGGACCCGGGGAGCACGTGTGTGCAAGGGGGTGCAGGGCTCGGGAGCGCGTGTGTGCAAGGGGTGCAGGGCTCGGGGAGCGTGTGTGCAAGGGGGCGGGGCTCGGGGAGCGTGTGTGCAAGGGGTGGGGCTCGGGGAGCACATGTGTGCAAGGGGTGGGGCTCGGGGAGCGCGTGTGCAAGGGGGTGCAGGGCTCGGGGAGCGCGTGTGTGCAAGGGGTGCAGGGCTCAGGGAGCGCATGTGTGCAAGGGGTGCAGGGCTCGGGGAGCACGTGTGTGCAAGGGGGTGCAGGGCTCGGGGAGCGTGTGTGCAAGGGGTGGGGCTCGGGGAGCGTGTGTGCAAGGGGTGGGGCTCGGGGAGCACATGTGTGCAAGGGGTGGGGCTCGGGGAGCGCGTGTGTGCAAGGTGGGCAGGGCTCGGGGAGCGTGTGTGCAAGAGGTGGGGCTCGGGGAGCGTGTGTGCAAGGGGTGGGGCTCGGGGAGCACATGTGTGCAAGGGGTGGGGCTCGGGGAGCGCGTGTGTGCAAGGTGGGCAGGGCTCGGGGAGCGTGTGTGCAAGGGGGCGGGGCTCGGGGAGCATGTGTGCAAGGGGGTGGGGCTCGGGGAGCGCGTGTGTGCAAGGGGGCAGGGCTCGGGGAGCGTGTGTGCAAGGGGGTGGGGCTCGGGGCACTCGTGTGGGTGAGTGCACAGGGCAGGGGGGTCTGCAGCAGAAACAGGCTGAGCCGTGTTCTAATGGAGGTTCACCCTACGTGTGCGAGTGGACTGAGCCGGCATGCTCTGGGCGGACCCAGGCCCACTGTCCTGGTTGCTTCCATACATGTGCATCTCGATGTGCTGAGGTCACTTGATGCATGTATGCATGTGTGATGAGTGCTCACGTGATGCATGCACCCGTGTGTGGTGAGTGGTCACGTCATGCATGCACCCGTGTGTGGTGAGTGGTCACGTGATGCATGCACCCGTGTGTGGTGAGTGGTCACGTGATGCATGCACCCGTGTGTGGTGAGTGGTCACATGATGCATGCACCCGTGTGTGGTGAGTGGTCATGTGATGCATGCACCCATGTGTGGTGAGCAGAGTAGGGTTGTAAGCTCTTTTGTCTCCTTTAACCTTAAACATTTATGGAACATTCAAGTTCTTCTCTAGGTATTCTGATATATAGGTCATTTTAACTAATAGTTCCTACTGTCATTTTTAAGTGTAGAGTATGTGGCTTTTAACTACGGGCTTTCAACATGTGTTACAGTAGACCTCTTGGGCTTACCTGCTCTAACTGAGATTTAGTCCAACTGAAAGCTAGTCTCCCTGGCCGGCCTCTCCCTCCCCTGCCAGCCTGGTAACTACCCTCCTCCCTCTTGTGAGTTCACCGTTTTTAGCTTCTGTGTGTGTAAGGCTGCGCATTCTCCTGGTCCATGCAGGTTTTGCAAGTGGCAGGATGTGCATCCTCTTGGGCTGAAAAGAATTCCACGGTGCAGAAGCACCATGTTTCCTTTACCTGCTCCTCTTAGGTGGACTCTTGGGTGGACTCCCGGGAGCTGAGTGACCTCACCTCAGAATTTTGGGATGAGCCATCTAATTCCTTCAGTGAGCCATCTTGGTACACACTACCAGCCATTGCTTAGCGCCTCCCAGGCTGGGGACAGCAACCAGAATGCTCTTGCCCACCCAGCCGCGTGTGCATGTGCAGCTGTCCGGTGGCAGTGGGCCTGCTGCTCCACCTGCGACCAGTCTGTCTGGGAGGTGCACCTGTCTCTCTGAGGATCCGATAAGATGGATTCACACAGGCAAGCGCACCGTGCACGCGTGGCTTGCAAGAGCTGGCATCCTGTGGAACTCGGTGTTTGATGTAATTCCCCGTGTAGCCACTGAGAGACTCGGCCAAGGGGAGCTTCAGTGTCACAAAGTGGACGCCAGCCGGCGGGAGCCAAAGCCTGGGGGTCGTCCTCCACGCGTACCTGAGTAGAAGTTACCTGCTCTCAGGCTAGAGCAGAGCTCCAGGCGTGCGTGGGCCCTAGCCGTCCCCGCGCAGAGCATGGCGGTACTAAGCACTGGCTGAGCCAGCAGGCAGCGATTAACGGAGCAGATAAACAAGTGGGACTCTTTCCGGAAGCAAGGGGTGGTGGAGACTTTTAACAGCGGCCCTTTCTCCTCATCCAAGACTCGATAGTTCCGAGACGGGCAGTGCTAACCAAACAGCTTAGACAGATTTATTGGAGGAGATAAATTGCCAGTCAGATAAGGTTTTATTTTTATAGCAGTAGAAAAGGCTTAGATTTTGCTTGCAGTTGGAAAACCTTAATATCCAAGAACTAGCGCTCACTCAGATTTCATCTTTGTTATAGATAGGAGCAGAATTCTGGGGTTGAACTCGGAAGGCTCGAGAACACATAAGACCATGAGCAGCGGTGGCGCGTTGCCAAGAGCCTTCTGACGGCAAGGCGTCTCTGCCCTCGCGCCAGGCCGCACCTGTGGGCCGCAGCCTGACGGTGCCGTGCCCAAGGGCCTGGGTCGCTCCGTGCCACTGCACCTCCGCTCTCTTATGATGCGTGCTCCTCTCGGGGTGGTGCTCCTCAGGGGGGTGCTCCTCTCGGGTGGTGCTCCTCTCTCAGGGTGGTGCTCCTCAGGGTGGTGCTCCTCAGGGGGGTGCTCCTCTTGGGGTGGTGCTCCTCTCTCGGGGTGGTGCTCCTCTCAGGGTGGTGCTCCTCTCTCAGGGTGGTGCTCCTCTCTCAGGGTGGTGCTCCTCTCAGGGTGGTGCTCCTCTCAGGGTGGTGCTCCTCTCAGGGTGGTGCTCCTCTCTCAGGGTGGTGCTCCTCTCGGGGTGGTGCTCCTCTCAGGGTGGTGCTCCTCTCTCAGGGTGGTGCTCCTCTCAGGGTGGTGCTCCTCTCTCGGGGTGGTGCTCCTCTCTCGGGGTGGTGCTCCCTTCTCAGGGTGGTGCTCCTCTCAGGGTGGTGCTCCTCTCTCAGGGTGGTGCTCCTCTCTCAGGGTGGTGCTCCTCTCAGGGTGGTGCTCCTCTCAGGGTGGTGCTCCTCTCTCAGGGTGGTGCTCCTCTCTCAGGGTGGTGCTCCTCTCAGGGTGGTGCTCCTCTCTCAGGGTGGTGCTCCTCTCTCAGGGTGGTGCTCCTCTCAGGGTGGTGCTCCTCTCAGGGTGGTGCTCCTCTCAGGGTGGTGCTCCTCTCTCAGGGTGGTGCTCCTCTCAGGGTGGTGCTCCTCTCAGGGCGGTGCTCCTCTCAGGGTGGTGCTCCTCTCTCGGGGTGGTGCTCCTCTCTCAGGGTGGTGCTCCTCTCAGGGTGGCGCTCCTCTCAGGGTGGTGCTCCTCTCAGGGTGGTGCTCCTCTCTCAGGGTGGTGCTCCTCAGGGTGGTGCTCCTCTCTCGGGGTGGTGCTCCTCTCTCGGGGTGGTGCTCCTCTCAGGGTGGTGCTCCTCTCAGGGCGGTGCTCCTCTCAGGGTGGTGCTCCTCTCAGGGTGGTGCTCCTCTCTCAGGGTGGTGCTCCTCTCTCAGGGTGGTGCTCCTCTCTCAGGGTGGTGCTCCTCTCAGGGTGGTGCTCCTCTCTCAGGGTGGTGCTCCTCTCAGGGTGGTGCTCCTCTCAGGGTGGTGCTCCTCTCTCGGGGTGGTGCTCCTCTCAGGGTGGTGCTCCTCTCAGGGTGGTGCTCCTCTCTCGGGGTGGTGCTCCTCTCAGGGTGGTGCTCCTCTCAGGGTGGTGCTCCTCTCCAGGCCCCACCCACACCAACATCCACGTCCCGTGTCATTCTGTGATGAGGACCTCTGGAGCACGCCGCAGTGCACTTTGACAGGAGCAGGCAGACGCTTCGAGGTGCTCCCAAATCTGCTCACTGCTCACATTGACCCGTGGACGGGCAGCTTGTTCCAGAAGTTCGTTCCGGTCTGGGTCTATTAGAGGTTGCCGTTGGAAGAGGCGTGCTTGTCTGCTTCATCTCCCAGTCCACAGATTGCATCGCCTCGTTCCTTCTTCATCACCCCCCACCTTCAATTTTCTGTTGGGGTCTGGGTTCGGGAGCAGGGCTCTGCCCTGGGTCTGTCCCATCTCACCGTCTCTGGGGGCCCATCATCTTTGGGACTCCTGCCCCCATGGGTCTGCAGTCCAGAGCTGGCCGTGGCGTCTTGGCTTCGCTGGGGCTTCCTGGAGTCTGCTGGGTCACCCTGTACTTTACAGCTTCCTCGCAGCCAGCCAGGAAGAGCTGCAAGGGTGGAAACCCAGCCCCCCCCCCCGCCCGAGTCCCCCTGCTGGACCAGGCAGGCAGAGCGCGAGCAGAGGCAGGGCCCGTGCACGTGGTGTGGGTCAGGGCCAACCACAGTCTTAGCAACAGTTTCCGGATTTCAAAGCGCTGTGTCTTTTTACAGTAAGGTGGACAGTCACAGTCGGTAGCACGGTGTATGCAGAGATGTGATGAGGAGGAGAAGAAGAAAACAGCCCTGGGCCATCGGGGCCACGGCCGGCCCCACACCCTGTAAAGACGGTCCACTCCTGGGTGGCTGGTGTGAGCCCTGGATGACCTTGTTAAGCACAGAACCTGCCTCAGTGGTAACCTTTCCCAGTGCTCAGCCATGGACGGTATTGTCCTGCGGTCAGGTGCGGTGACCACATCCTTGGGGCTCCGGCACCCTGGACGGCTACCCGCCAGGGCCTCCCTCCCACAGTGCAGCAAGCTCCTCTGCGCTCCTCCGAATGCACGCCCTGCAGCCCGCCCTTCCAACAGCCACGGTTCCTCGCTCTGGGAAGATTTATGGAGACAAACCGCAAATCATGCACACATCTCCTCCGGCGGTGTTTGTCCCCAGACAAGGCTGAACTCCATTCAGTATTTTCAAAGACGTCCTTCTCAGGATTGCCCTGTGTCTGGATTGCATTACATTTTCTGGTGGAAAGGTC